TTTTTTGGTTGTAACTTTCTTTCCTTGACAGCTATTAAAAAAATTTTCAAACAAAAGTTGTAGCAAATATTTTTTCCTACAAAACTAAAAAAAAAAGAAAAAGATTCGACTAATAGGAGCCGAGATATCCAAACTTACCCCTATTTTGAAGATGGCCGCCGACGCACAGGGAAATTTTATTGGAACTTTGTGAATCCTATGACCTTCTACTCACCCTCAAAAAATTGGCTTGTCTATCCGTTTTGTAGATATTCGGGGTTTTTGATACTATTTTACTGGACTAATCATTCTTTTAGAAATAAGAGATTGAGGTATATGATACGAATGACGCACTATTACTGTAAATTGATTCTTTGCGTTAAATATCAGTATCAAATGCATTCTACTGTATCGTAATTGAGAAAGGAAAGATTTACTTTGATTCTTGTATTAAGACAATCTCGAAAATATGTTGCGACAAGTGTGTAACCCATACTTTTGTCTCAATTCTTTCTCATTAATTTATTATTCCTCTATGTAATATTTTTTACAATTATCTCAATAGAAGAATTAAAGCAAAATCTTTGATTCTTTCTTCGGCGCTTTAAGAGATAAAGTTTCAATAATTCGAGAGATTCCAAACTCCGATTTGGAAGATTAGAAACTTAATCTATCGTAGATTGAATTTCTATCGATCGCTTATAAATTAAACCAGATTAAACCGGCCATCTCTAACCAATCGCAATTTAACTGTAACGCAACCTGTTATGAATAATATCGATCCTTTGAAACAACTGGAGAAAGATAAAAAAAAATAATCACCATTATCAAAGTATCTCTATTCAAATCTTGTAAAAAAATTCCCTGAAAATTTTCTGATCTTCCAGGTTTTTTTTATTGTATACATTTTCTGTTTTTTTACTCATACAAAGGAAAAATATAGAGCTATTTAAATTTCAAATGCTAGATTTACAAATGTATTGAAAAAACCGTATGGCATAACATTTTCATTTTTTTTTATCATTAAAAATATGTATTGCATATTCAATATTTTGTTAAGACATTAAATATATAAACAGAGATAGATATATATTTACAATATATCTTAAACCTATAATTCACTTGACTTGTCAATTCCTTACAATATAAGAGCAAAATTATTAAAGAGAAGATTTTTAAAAGTATTCCCTGAGTCCCAATAAAATTCCACGAGAATTCCCTGTTTTTTCCAGAGGTACAAAAGAAAGCCCTGAGAATCCCAAGGATTTTCCATGTTTTCCCAGGGAGTAGAAACCTTAAACCAGGGAATAGATCTCTTTAAACTCTAAATTCTCTTTTTCTTTGCGTAATGTCAGCCGCATTAAAACACTCGATATTTTTTCTCACTCGACAGCTGAATCCATTCTCCGCAAAGTCCTGGGAGCCCATCAGCTTCAAGGCCGATCGCAACCTGATGAAGGAGATTATCATCGCCAATTCCATACCTGGCCCAGAGAGCTGTGTGTAAACTCGATCGCGGAAGTGAATCGAGACGCAAATACATACATACATACACACATATACATACACATACACACGCACACATTACATAGCACAGAACGATCGATTTCGAAAGCCTGAAAATTGTATCGCGCGCGTCGGTTGGACACACGCGGATATCAACGCAAAGTCAACGAATCTCGTGTCTCGCTTGTTAACACGCACCGGTGTGACATATCACGATGACGATATCGTAGCAGATAACATACATATCAGCATATCGTAGCATATCGTGGCGCGCCACGATCTCTCCCGAGATCCTCGGGAGTTTAGATCCCCGTCGACCCAGCGCGAGACCGGGACGAGGAATCGTCGCGACACGACCTAGTCGCATAATTTATAACCGAACGCTACACGTGGTGTACTATTCCAAGTTTAATATATTTTGTGTCAAGTCTTGAAACGTCTTGTCATTTCATAGTGCCATTGTCATCTCCTGTAAACCGTTCTATTCTCTCTCATTCTATATAACATATACATATTGCTTTAATTCCTCTTTTCTTACATTACTAAATCAATTTTGTATATTTAAAACAAAGATATTTGTTATATTTTTATATTTTTAACAAAATCATTTATTTAATTTATATGTTATATTTTTGTTTCCTAGATTTTTATTCTAGCTTATTAACGTCTCTTAATTTGTTATATTAATAAATAATATATATTGTTGTATATTATTATGTATGTGTGTGTGTGTGTGACATGTCCCAAATATATTTTCTATCGCTTCAAAAATAATTTCTATTAGAACTTGTTACAATAATATCTAAGATTCAATTTATTTTTTAATTTAATAAACTGGATTAGCCGATCTTTTCTTAGGCCAGATCCACGTAAAAACAAATATATATGGGCTTGCGAAAATAAATTTATTTTTAAAAAATTTCTCAAATAAATAAAATCTATTTATATTTTATAGCTAATTTAGCTCTCTTCCTGTGAAAAGAAACAAACATAATTGAAAATCTTTTATCGACAAAAAAATATATTTATTCAATATTTTATAAAACAATATACGCATATATGTGTGTATACGTATCATATCGAATATATTTGAAACTTCGTTCTATGTCTCTAAAAGAGAAACGGCATTAAAAATCTCAGTTTACTGGATGTAACCTGATAAGTATGATATGAATAAAATGATATAATAAAATTGGAGTTTTCACCGCCATTTATAGAGGAACGGTTGATACATGTGTGACTTAAAATAACGAGCGTTTAGCATGCTTGTATCTAAGAGTCGACGCGAAGCAAGTGCGACCGCTTCCACAAGCAGTCGCACCCAGGAAGACACCGTACACCAGAGCGGACCAGACTATCATGCCCACCGCAGCAGCCAACAGGATCAGATATGCTCGATGACGAAAGCGATCTAGGATCCGCAGCATCCACTTGCGGTCCACCACCGCTCCCCCGGGAGACGCCGCACGATGCAAGGATGCGGTCTAAAGAGATACGCGGTTATCAGAGAGAATATCCGGTTATGAGCTAATCATTTAATTATTTAAAAAAGAGATAACTTGTATCTCTATGTATAAACTAAAAACACTATTATTATAATATATTATAATTTTTTATTGCATAAAAAAGAAACCGATTAGATTAATTAAACTGATTAATAGAGGGAAAACGATCATCCCAAACGGCAATGATTTAGTTTTGTCTACCTCTATCGCGTTTATCGTTCCGACAGTCCGCTTTACATTCGTAACTGCTTCATGCGCTTCATACATTTCGTCGTATTCTTCGTCGTGCGGCTGTCGTACTTTGCCTTCTACTTCGTATATGTCATCATTGTATGGTTTGTGTAATTCACCGTAGAATTCACGGACTTTATCATAAGATGCTTCGCTCATGTTAATAGGCATTTCGCTCTGCGTCTCTTCGCATACTTCATCACGCACTTTGCCAGTGGCCAGGTAGCGTTCGTGCTGCACATACAGTTTCTTTTTTATAAAAACTCATTGTTAATCGCGATTTAAAAAAAAATGTGAGAAATTGGAGAATTCGATGCATAGAAAATTACAATTTTTTTAAATATTTTGCTATTGTCAAAATGGGGTTTCATTTGTTAATCTTGGTAAAATAAATATTTTTCCAGGTAAGATATGAGATTACACAAACATACAAATTGTTCATAAGACATTGCAAATTTTTTTATAGTAAATTAAAACAAATACATAGAAAGAAGCGAAAGCAATCAAAAAACTAATAACAAAGCGAATATCCGTCATTTCCCTATTACACGAGAAGAAAAATAATACTTTATCATAGTTAATATAAGAAATGGCTATATAAGAATAAGCTTCTACAGTGTATATTTAAGCAATTATAAATATCATGCATCACGATCAAAAGCGTTTTCAACATTTCTTTCTCCGTCATTATAAAAAGAATTGCATTTTTCTATATTCTTGTGAAGCGCAAAGGGCATCAAAAATATATCCTCCTTCTACTATTCTATCTCTTTCTCATATAATGCAATATATATAATTTCTTCAGATGCGCTTTCTCTCTTTTCTAAATAAAGCACTGCAAATTGCGAGGCGCTTCGAATTATCGAACGCAAAGGCAAAATCAACATGCTTTCGCAAACGTCTCGCTCTGCAGGGTGTACCTTAAAACAGAGAGAGAGAGAGAGAGAGAGAGAACAACGTTCTTCAAACAGTGCAAAGGATGATTTTAATGCCGGCGGGGGCGTTCGAAGAGGATCGATAGCGTCCAATTACGGAAATGCCCAGAGACCCGTACCTGCATGTTCTGTAGTTTACTTATTTGCTGACGGACCAGGCGAACCACCTTGCATTTCGCATGTTGACAGTTGGCCAGGAAGACCGCGAGGTTCGTCTGCTCGTCCTGGTCCAGATACCGGCAACCGGCGCACGTACGCGCATCGCATATCATTTCTCACGGCGTATAAAATAATCTCTCGCGATATGCGCGAAGAGCGATTTAAAGAGATCATTTTATTTTTCTCCGATAAAAAAAAAGCCACCGACGCGGCTGAAGGTACGAACAAATCGTCGTGTAAATGTAAATTGAGCAGCGCGATCGTCGTCTTTTATATCGAAATCAAAATTCATTATCTTCATTCCTTCAATCTGTTCTTATTTATAGCACTTTATTTACGCTATCCTTTGCATCTAAAACGAAGTAAGCGCGCGTGTTCGCGTGATACAAAAATGTATATACATAAATTCAACATAATTCAATCGAGACTCTAATTTCCATTCTGCCAGATTGTGATTTAAATTTAAAAGTACAGCTATTTCTGAGCGTCACGTATACTCCGAAGATTATAAATCTAATAGGAAAGGAGAATATAACACGCTTATGCGTCGAATCCAACTGCCAATATGCGTAATAATTTCAAGTTACATCATCGATCGATTATTTTCATTTGTAATAGAATATTTGCAAGATAAAGTCGGATGTTTTCTCGGGAGACTGTGACCTAACAAATTGTTATTGTTAGATTGTGCTAAATTTCCGACAAACAGTAAATTATATGTCAAATGTAAAGAGATAAGATTACCGATGCGTAAAGATTGTTAGTTCGATATATTTATATCGAACTAAAATGCGAATATTAAGTGCCTCCTTTCTATTAAATTAATTATTAATTATTTTTAATTAAGGCATGGCAAATATAAAATCGTATATTCTGAAGATAAATATATTGTTGCCTTAAAGAATATATATCCAATAAAATATTCATTAGTATCTTACAAATCAGCAAAATTTTATACAAGATCTTAAATCTATCTTTATTTATTATTAATTAAGAAACTCTAGGTTTCTTTTCTGGTGGTGGTTTCATATCTTTTTTCTCAGTCTTCACTTCCTGCTTAATCTCTGTAGCTAAAAGAATCAAAATCAATAATGTTAAATAAAATATTAAAATATATAATAAATAATGAAAAACAGGATAAATGAATATAAAATGTTACATACAAACTTCCGTTGCTTGGTGTACTGGTTTTGGCACTGGTAAGGGAAATTTACGAGTGAGCTCCGTAAGTAACATATCCACTCTCTGCCGTTGAAACAACGAGCTGGGTTCCTCGCGTACCGGCGTTTCTTTCTTTGCGGCTAAAGCTTTGCCATTCTTGAAATCCCAAAAGTAGCCTTTACTAGGATGATATCGCGAGCAGGAGCTAGCTTCTTCAAAAGCGGATTGTAGATGATGAACTGTGGATAACTGCACAAATGATATATATATATATTCTTTACATACAAAAATTTACAAATGCCGCATTACACAAAAATATAAAAATATACATGTAAAATGTTCATCAAATGTGTCACACAAAATTCCAAAATATGTACATTAAAATATTTTGTCACTCACCAATCTAGAACTCACAACAGATCCTAAATCTGGAGCCTGATACACAACACCAGCTATAATGTAATAATCAGCGACTGGTGAAGCTACAGTCGGCGAATGTCTGTGTTGTTTCCTAATCACATACAGAATTGGCTCTTGCACATGCAGAAGAATATATTCCAAACCAGTCATATTGCTAAAAATAGAACAACAATAAAGTGAATAAATATATTTACAATAATGATATATATTCATATTTAATAGAAAGATCAATTGAGACTCACGTCAATTGATCAGGACTCAAACGTTGCATCTTTACTATCTCATTATTGCAAGTTCTGTCGTAAAACGGGTTACTTCTTTCAGAAAAGTAATCCATGATGTTGCTTGGGTTAAGGACAGGAATCCAAGCACTGTCGTGCCAAGACAGGCCTAAAGGATTCTCTGAAAGAGAGAAAATCAAGATAAACATTATAAGGTATTAATTAAATTAAGAATTGGATGAATATACAGGATATTCACACCTTTTTTTCTCATCAATGAAACAATTATTTCGCGTATTTATATTAAATATTGAATATTAGTTATACTCTCTTGACAATACAAAGAGAGATTAATTAATCCTTACCTTGTACTGGAGTTTTTCCAGGCATCATCATATCACCAACCAACGAACTTGTGTTACAACAACAATCAAGAATACACCTCGTCTGTTTATGCCATGTATCAAGTATATCTTTTGCTTCTTCTTTTATGGATTTCTGTCCGCTATCAAACACAGTATATCACGACGTAACCTTCCTTTTCTTTATTTCTTCCTTTTTCCGATTTCTGTTTTCTAACAGGGAAAAGTAATCGAACATATGTATTTGACAGTAGCGCATCCATAGACATAGTACAGTCACAGTATATACAGTAGCGCAACTCTCCCGATTTTGTCTTGGCCAAAACGGAGTGCGCATGAGCGAAATAAGTAAGTTGGCCAGTAACGCTATCTAAATTTCTCTCTCACTTATTCTTTTTTTTCTACTCTTTCGTTCTCTCTCACACTGTTTAAATACCCAATTAAATGCCTACTGCCTACCTTATTTGACAGAATAGATGACATTATATGTTATTTATTGTACGATTGCGCAATTTATCAGAGTTTTTGATACAAAGCGATTACGAAGCGATTACAGATATTTAATATAATTATATTTGTAATTATAACTTTATATATATATATGTTTTTTTAATACTGTCTTTATAATACATTTAACATTTTTTGAATAATATTTTATTTTCTCTTTTTTGCTCTCTCTATTATTTCATGTAATATATTTTGCATATAGCATAATTATTTATGTAATATATTGTATATTAGCATAATTATATTTATCTTTTCATTATTTTATCTTTTTCCTTTTTTAAATATATTATTAACAATTTATCTGTATATATTTTTTATTAAAATACATTATTTTGGATTATTATTTATTGCTACATATGTATCAATGAGTTAGAGAGAGAACG